TTCCTTCCTTCCTTCCTTCCTTCCTTCCTTCCTTCCTTCCTTCTTTCCTTCCTTCCTTCCTTCCTTCTTCCCTCCCCCTCTTCTCTCTCTCTTACTTTCTTTTTATCATGGTAGCAGTAGGGGAAATAGAAAAAGAGTGAGGGGCTCTGCTGTTCTTCCCTTACTGACATTCTTTCTTATTCATAAGGACAGTTACCCCTGGTGAGCACTAATTGCGGAGATTAAATTTATGTATGCACAGCCCACCCTGGAGGCCAAGTGATGACCAAGTTTAGCAGCAGATGGGTGCTGAGGCTGGCATCAGGTGGTTCATTATCATCCTCACTTGGCAGTTAAAAAGATCAAGACTGGATAAGGTCATTTGCTGGAGGTCACACAGGTAATAAGTGAGAGAGCTGGCTGAGAACTCTCTCTCCTTCTTTCTCCGTTGACGGGCACAGCCCACCCTGGAGGCCAAGTGAAGACCTAGTTTAGCAGCAGATGGGTGCTGAGGCTGGCATCAGCATTGGACACAAGGTTTACACTGGCAGGTTCTGCTATTGGCATCAGGTACATCATGTTGGCATTGAGCCTGCCCCCAGATAGGCACGAGGATTGAAAATAAGTCGACATTAAACTTGATATCAGGAGAACAATAATAGAGCCACCTCTGATGCCAAGAGGGCTTTGAGAGTAGTCCCAGGTGGCACTGAAGCTGGCTTCAGGAGGGCGTAAGGGCGGCACCATGTCGCCTCTGAAGTTGGGGCCAGCAGGCTCTGGCATGAGTACCAGGTGAGTGCTGAGGTTGGTCCTCTGAGAGGAGCCCCAGAGGCACACTGGGTCAGCTCTGATATTTGGATCACCCTGCTTAGGTTGATCTAATCTTGCGTATGTACAGGTGGGTGAGTTTGGCACTCCCAGGACTGGCATCTTGCTCAAAGCACTCTAGGTCCCTGAGCTCTGAGACCTGTGGAGAGGGAACAAAGGGCAGAGAACAAAGAAGAAAAGAAATCTGTTTGTTGGTTTATGAGGGGGA